TGTAAATAGGATCACAAGTCCGCATCTTGTACAGCAATTAACCACTAAGAAGAATATATGCAGTGTATTATTTGTTGAAACTGTACTTCCGATTGGATTTGAAACTGTCTCATTGCTGTTTATCAATAAAACTTTGAAAAAAATAAATAAAAAAAAATAAAAATTTAGGACTCTTAAAACTTTCTATGCCACATGTTGCTTCTCTTAGTTTCCTGACTCCACTGTTCTCCTTTTCCTTACTTGAACATAACCTGCTCATTCCATTTCAACTGTGGTTTTGCTTTCATTTAACTAATTGACTTGCTTTATTCATTTTGTTTTAAGTAAACTGCAACTGAGGAACCTGAGGGGAAGGGAAATTTTTTCTGAATTACTTCTTTTAGAGCATTTCAGGTTGTCGTCTCTATTTACATTACTTTTATAATATATAAGGAAAATGTGTTTCTTTGCAAATTGTACTTTGATTACAACTGAGTAGTTCTGGAGGAAAGAAGGAAGAGGAGGAGGAGGAGGAGGAAAAAAAGGAGGAAGAGGTAGTAATTTTGATTTTTTGGGGTCTTTTTGTGACAGGGTCTCACCATACTGGCCTTGAGCTCATTTTGTAGCCCAGGTTGGTTTGGAACTCACAATGATCCTCCTTCCTCAGCCTCCCAAGTGCTGGAATTACAGGTGTGGGCCACCACGCATGGCAATTTTGATGATTTTATAGTACTAGGGATTGAACCCAGGACCTTGTGCATGATGGGCAAGCAGTATCGCTGAGCTAAATCCCTAGCCCTTTTTATTTTATTTGGATTGATTGAAACAGACCAGGGAGATAGATAGCTCAGCAGTATAAGTGCCTGCCTGGCACAAGCAAGGTCCTGAGTTTGATCTCCAGTACCGGGGGAGAAAATACTATTTATTGAGACACTTGCTGTGCATTGAATGCTGGCCTCAAATTCATGGCACTCTTCCTGCTCCAGCATCCCAAGAGCTGGAGGTACAGGCGTGTACCACCATGCTAAACCACTGACCCTTTTTAGATTTTATTTTGCAACAGAGTTGCTCAATTGTCTAGGCTGTCCTTGAGTTTGTGGTCCTCCTGTTTGAGCCTTTCAAGTAGAGGGGATTACAGGTTTGGACCACTGTTTTCCATTTCTGCCTTTCTCCCCTTCCTCTTTCTTTTCTAGTGCTGGAGATCAAACATGCTAGGCAAATACCCTACCTACCACTAAGCTAAACTCCTAACCTCAGTTTAATTTTTTAAAGGCACCATCATATCTTTATTTTTTTTAATTTTTAATTTTTATTGTTCTTGTTTAGTTTTTGTTTTTGTTTTTGTGGTACTGGGGATTGAACTCAGACCCTGTGCTTGCCAGGCAAGCACTTATTGTACTGAGCTATCTCCCAGACCCTGTTCTTGTTGATAAAGGGTCTCACTACACAGTTAAGACTCCTAATAATCCTCCTATCTCAGCCTCCTCAGTGCTGGGATTACAGGCATGCACTGTTGTGCCTGATTTTGGGGCTGGCATTGCATGGCATATGGTACTGTGGATTGATCTCAGGTCCTTGCACCTGCCAGGCAGATACTTAGACCTCTGAGCTGTCTCCTCAGCCCCCAGCTTTATTTTTTTAATGTATTTAGAACCGTGTCTACAGGGTCTCACTACATAGATTGGACTTGTAGTGATCCTCCTGTTCACAGTCTCCCAAGTGCTGGGATTACAGATGTGTACCACCATGCTCTGTCTCAATCCCTGTCTCAGCATGCCCTGGGGATGGGCCCAGCAAGGCAGGTATGGGGATCCAACCTCCAGCTCCTGGGTCTGCCTAAGCAGGTGCTTTAATCCACTGAGCTATCTGGCTGGCCCTTCTAGTTTTATTCTTAACACCTTTTCTTTTTCTTTTTTTTATTTTTTTCAAAGTTTTATTGATAAACAGATAGCAATGAGACAGTTTCAAATCAAATCGGAAGTACAGTTTCAACAAATAATACACTGCATATATTCTTCTTAGTGGTTAATTGCTGTACAAGATGCGGACTTGTGATCCTATTTACAAACACCATTAGAACAAATCATTCTATTCATTAAGAGAATGCAACTATATATCTATCCCAACCTCTTTGAATACACAGATACAAAATGGACATTCATCTGTATGCCCCATTTTTTCTAAGTTCCGTTATTGAATATTATAGGTGTGTAAACTCAGCAAAATACTCCAAAAGAGTCCAGTAGCCCATAATAGCGTTGGGTCTTCTGTTTAACTGGCAATGTCAGAAATTATTGACCTGAGTCCCCCACAGCTCAACTTAACAGCATGGCCTTATTTCTTATTCTTAACACCTTTTCTATGGAAAAATAAAGATACATCGTTCTCCAATACTTTATTATACTTTAAGCTTGTTCCCTGAATCAGCTTCAAGTCTTTCATGTTTGTATATAAAACATTATAATTTGTACTTACACATATTTGTAAAATGATTGACTTTGTCAACTTTTTTATATGCACTCTGAAATTTTATTTATTTATTTTTTAGATAATTTTTTCCATAATTTTATTGAGAAATAAATAGCAATGAGAAAGTTTCAAATCAAATTGGTAGGACAGTTTCAATAATTAACATATTGCATACTGTCTTCCTAGTGGTTATTTGTTGTACAAGATGCAGACATGATATCCTATTTACAAACACTATTACAACAAATCCCTCTATTCCTTGAATTAAGACAATGTAGCTATATATCTATCCTAACCATTTTGAATACACAGATACGAAATGGTCATTCATCTGTATCCCCTTTTTTTGTTTAGTTCCGTTATTTAAATATTACAGATGTGTGAACTCAGCAAAATATTCCAAAATAGTCCAGTAGTCCATAATAGTATTGGGTCTTCCACTTGACTGGCAATGTCAGAAGTTGTTGACCTGAGTCCCCTACAGCTCATCATAACATCATGGCTTTACTTCTTATACTTCATTTTTATACTTTTCTGCTGGATGCTTAAGACCAAGACCTATGTAACAAGAATTGTAGCTTTTGGATCTGATAAGGTCAGTCAAGTCCCCTCAGGATTTATCCTGAGATCCTGTACCTCTGATTGTAGAACCTTTGTCAGTATCAGCCATGTGAATGAGTCACAGCCATTGCTTGGCCATGTGCTCTCTGTGAAAGCCTGAGAGAATGTTTTCTCTCCATGTGACTCTCCTTGGGCACACTCTACATCATCAATCACTTTCCTCTTTGGCCCCATAATCTCCTTAATCAGAAAATTTGGGAAACAACTGAGTTACATGATGTTACAGTACAAGTTCTCATGTCCTGAGTCTTAATTGACCTTGGAAGGCTAGGAGCTGTCAACTTTTCAAATGTTAGAATTGATACTTAGGATAGATAGTATATTAGAATTTTTCCTCACATAGTTCTAGGATAACGGATATGAAATTATGATTTATTAGATTTAATTTGTCACATAAAAGAAATGTGTTCATAATTGTGACATATACATTAGATTATTTTAAATTATTTTTTCTCTTCCTAGCTGTCCCTTTTCCTCCAACTCACCGACTTACTTTGAAAGAAGTATTCGAGAATGGGAAACCTAAAATTGATATTTTGAAAAACCATTTGATCAAGGAAGGCCAACTACAAGAGGATGTAGCTTTAAAGATAATCAATGATGGGGCTGCTATCCTGAGACAAGAGAAGACTATGATAGAAGTGGACGCGCCAGTCACAGGTATGTATAGTATCTTTGTGGTGGTGCTTAAATGTGAGCTAATTATGAAAAATGATTACATTACAAATAACTAAAATGTGATGTCATTTTTCGGTGCAATTTGAGACAGCCTCAGGATCAGCTAGAATGTTTTTTGTTCCCTACAATTTTGAATGTCTAATATTTCCAGTAGAACTTCTTTAGTACCCACAATCAACTATGATTCTATGCAGTCCAAACAAAAACTAATATGATTTAAATTAAAAGGTAAGCTATGATTCTATTGATGTGTGACCTTTTTTTTAAAGACATAGTTTTTCATCTGATATCATGTCATTTTTTTGCCTAGTGTGCGGAGACATTCATGGACAATTCTTTGACTTGATGAAGCTGTTTGAAGTTGGGGGATCACCTAATAACACACGCTACCTCTTTCTGGGTGACTATGTGGACAGAGGCTATTTCAGTATAGAGGTAAAATTCAACCTAGATATGCTGGACCTGTCATTTACATTAAGAAAAAAGGATTTACTTCCCATTCTCTAGAGGAAATTAAAATGTGAACTCTGATGGAATTTCTAAGCTTTGTTGCTTTCAGTATTAAAGCAATAGAGAAATGTTTTACCTATTATAAAAAATAAATTCTATTTTTTTTTTTTTACCAGTAGAAAACGTGGCATATGGAAGGCTGTATTAACCCAGTTTAAAAAATAGGTTAGGGGCTGGGAAGATGGCTCAGTAGAATAAGCGCTATCCTAGCAAGTGCAGGGGCCTGAGTTTAATCCCTGATTCTGCCAATAATAATAAGAATAAGAATAAGAATAAGAATAAGAATAAGTTAAATGTTAGGGGCCAGCCAGATAGCTCAGGGATTAATGCGCCTACTTAGGCAGACTCAGGGATTGAGGTCTATCCCCAGTATGCTATACTGGCCCCGACCCTGGGGCACACTGAGACATCGATCAAAACTGGGTGTGATGGCATGCACCTATAATCCCAGCTCTTCAGAGGCTGAAAACAGGAAGATCACTACAAGTCCAATCTGTGTAGTGAGACCCTGTACTAAATACCTAAAAAAGTTAAATGTTTACTAACCTTTCTTCTTTCAAGATTCTATAGAGGCTGTAAAGACATAAATTGCTTTTCACCCTAAACATGGTTTAGATTAGCAGTTGTGGAACAAAAATTAACTTTTCAGTTAACTGCCTGAGGTAAATAAGCAGGCACTTGTCTTATTGTAGGAATAATTTCTGGTACTGTTGTATATAGTATGCATTTAATAAATATTTGCTGAAGAGAAAAAAATGAATTACAGTTAGTGAAAACACAATTTATTTTTATATATTTTGAGAATTGAATGATAGGAACATGATTAACATTAAAAACAAATAGAAAGGGCCAGGGAGATGGCTTGGTAGAATAAGTGCTTGCTTGGCAAGTGCAAGGACCTGAGTTCAATCCCCAGTTCTGCAAAAAGAAAAAAAAGCTTTTATCTGTAAAAAAGATTAAAAAGTATTTTAGAACTTAATCCAAGGACTTCAATATTCTGTGACCACAGCACATTTATATTTAATGCCCACTGATTCAGAAGCTGAAGAACTTTAGAGACAGTGAGGGTAATCAGATGTGTACCCCCATACCCATGAGATGAGAAACCAGGTCTACTTGCTGGTTTTTGCTGCCTTTAGTCCTGCTGCCTCTCATGTAAGAGTTTCAGTACTGTGAGCTAAAGGTTTCTTGTTCATGTAGCGTCACTGCTGACTACATGTATGTACCTCATCAGTGTTTGAAGGGATATTAGGAAAAATACGCAAGATCAATAGATTTTATTCCTTCATTTGACAAGCAGACTGAGTTTATGAATCAGAAAAGTTCAGTTTTATCTGCAGTGCCTAAAATTCATTTTGTGTAAAATATGAGGATAAAAGTTAATGGTACAAGATATCATGTCTGCATCTTGTACTAGGAATAACTACTACAAAGACAACAATATGCAATGTATTAATTATTGTAACTGTACTACTAACCTGTTTTGAAACTATCTCATTGCTATTTCTTTCTCAATAAAATTATTTTTTTTAAGAAAGTTAATGGTTTAGAGCTGGGGAGATAGCTCTTGGTGGCATAAGCGCCTGCCTGGCAAGTGCAAGGACCTGGATTCAATCCCTGGTACTGCATGCTGTGCTGGCCCAGAACCCCAGGCACATGTTGGCCCTGAAACTGGGCATGATGGCTCACCCCTGAAATCCCAGCACTGGGAAGGCTGAGACAGGAGGATCACTATGAGTCTGAACTATGTAGCAGGACCCTGTATCAAATAAATAAGTAAAAAAAAAAAAGTTAATGGTGTAAACTAAGAAAATATGTCCATCTTCCCCACTGCACATTTTCCTGCTGCTCAGCAAATGTCCGTAGCTTCTTATAGATTCTGAGTGTGCAGACTGGATCATTGAAAGAGTTAAGCTGCTTTCCCCATCATATTTCAATACATAGGTAGTCAAAAGTATGGAAACTTAAAGGGTACATTGGAAAAAAAAATTTTGAGATAGGGTCTTACTATATAGTTCAGGACAGCATTGAATACACTATGTAGCCCAGGCTGGCGTTGAATTCATGGCAGTCCTCCTGCCTCAGCCTCTTGAATGCTAGAATTACAGGTGTGCACCACCATACCTGGCTAAAAATTTATTTATTTATTTATTTATTTTTGAAAATTTATTTTTTGTGTGTTTTCTAGCATGAGGAAGTTTCAGAGCCTGAAGGGAGAATACAGAACCTACAGAATTTTTAATTATTTAGTGAACCAACTTTTAAAGCATAATGATGACAAATTATGTTCCGATTATTTACTTGTGTAATTTAAAAATATAGTAATTAATTGTGTGTGTGTGTGTGTGTGTGTGTGTGCGCGCGCTGGGGAATTAAACCTAGTGCCTTCTCCATGCTAAGCATACATTTTTCTACTGATCTATTACCCCAGCTTTTTGGTTTGTTTTATTTTGTTTTTCCTGAGGTAATGTCTTGCTGTGTTGCTCAGGGTGGTCTCAGACTTTTGGGTGTAAGGAATCCTCTTGCCCCAGCCATTCAAGTAGAGATTGTGCTTAGGTGCTACCTATCTGGCTTCAGCTCCTAGAATTTGAATTGATTAATACAGTCAATGAAGCATGCATTTAAAATCCACAATGAGGGCTGGCTACATAGCTTGGCAGATTAAAACACCTGCTTAGGCAGATGAACAGGTTCAAGACTGGGTGTGGTGGCATGTGTCTGTAATCCCAGCACTTAGGAGGCTGAAAACAGGAGGATCACTATGAGTCTGATCTGTGTAGTGAGACCTTGTAGACCCTGTATTAAATACATAAAAATCAATCAATAAAATCCACAATGAGCTGGGTGTGTTGGTACACGCCTGTAAACCCAGTACTCAGGAGGCTGAAACAGGAGGATCCCTGTGAGTTTGAGGCCAGCCTAGGCTACACAGTGAGTTTAAAGCCATCTGGGACTCTATAAGGAGACCCTGTCTCAAGGAAAAAAATTAAAATCCACAATGAATTTTATTACATAGGCTGTATTTAGAATACTCTCTATATTATGCATTGTTTTTCTTGCTTATCAACATTTCTTGTTAAGTACTAACTTTGTAGCAGGCTATATAAGAATGAAATAAAATAAAGTAAAATAAAATAAAGAATAAGACTTAGCTGTGTGTGGTATCGTAAATCTGTAATCCTAGCAGTCTGGGAGGCTCAGGCAGGAGCACTGCAAGTTTGATTCCAGGCTGGGGAACCCTAGCAGTCTGGGAGGCTCAGGCAGGAG